ATTAAAAGTATTAATGCATTTTCTTAACTTTAGAGGACTATAGTCTATACTCTATAGTTAATATTTTAATAAACTAACTAACCAAAATTGATGATTTGACTGTCAATATTTTCACACTTTTTATACAACAAATAAAATATTATTAACAAAAAATTATAGAAAAAAAAATTGAAAATGTTTGCAAACAGCTCAAAAGGGCAAAATGTTTTGAAAACGTTATCAAGTATAGGAATTGATGAAATAAACATATGGTGTAAATTTCATGTATATACATTATACAGACAACAGACTACAGTTATTCTTTTTTGAATTACAACAAAATAAGAAATCTCTACATGAGAAATAAAGTGACTATATACAATGTTGTAAAAATATGAACTTCAAATTTGACTTTCTTGCGGACATTTAAAATTTTTTTTTTTGATAAAGGTAGACAAACTTATGAGTAATCTTGTATAACATTTTCTAATTTTAGATTTAAAAAGAAAAATGTTTAGGAATTTCCAACTTAAAAATGTTCGTGATTTTTATGTATTTTGCAAGAATTAAACTTCAGATGCTTATAAAAAAAATTGAGGCTATCGATTTTTAATATTTTTTAAATGCCATTGTAATTATATATTTTGGGAGCCTTGTACTAAATTTTCAAACTTTTTTAACCTTCGAATAAAATTTTATTGTCATTCATAGAAAAAAAACTAAAAAATTTGGTAACTGAAAATGTCCGTAAATAGTTCAAAACAAATCAATATTTTTTGAAAATTTTATCGTGTATAGAAAATGCTAATATAAATATTCAGCGAAAATGCCATGTATCTACATGGTCATTTTTTTAGAGTTACGCCAAATGCCGGTGCTATTAAAAACTACTGGGAATTTTAAATTTTGAACTCCCAATGCACCAACTAGATTCATTTTCCCATCGAACAAGATAAACCAGCGAAGTTGAAAATCGAAGTATTATTTCGAGTGTACACACTTATCGTGTACATAGACACAAAAATAACAATAAAAAATAAAACACACATCATTGTTAAATCAATACATACATTGCTTGTTTCAGAATCTAAAATTATTAAAAAAATATATGTTATGCTTATAAGTTAAAATCTGTTCATTTCACATTTGCCTCATAAATAAATACAAGCGAGGCCATGGGTTAAAGATAATACATAATACATAATATAGACAAGAATATATTAATATATTATAATATATGTACTAAATGTAAATCTTAGATCATATACAATCTACAGTACTAGCTATAGTATATAGTACGATAGCAGTATAATAAATAGCACCGACGTCTGTGATCAACTATTATACATAATACATATAGAATAATGATCTCAGATGTAAATTTAATCATTATAATTTTTATCAAGTATTCAAGTTGTATCAACAAAAAAAAATACACCTTGGGGCTTATCACTTATTTCATCTATTCTGTGGTATTATCGCAGAACAATATCAAATACCACGGTTTTAGATTATATTATCACATAATAATAATATAATCATGAACATTAGAGGAAGGACGCCGAACACAGCAGAACGAAGCGTAAAAACATGGTCCGGAATTATCGCATTCCGCCAGAATGCGCGTCGGACCGTAATGATGTCGTTTTTACATATTGTATAGCATAGGACATTTAATGGTTTTTTATTATTATAATGTAAATGGTGAAATTTATGAATAATTACTATAGAACATTTTTTTAAAACCAAATTGCCCTCGATCGAATATAAGTGTTTCCAATAATATACGACTTTTATAAAAAGAGATAACAACTATATCTTTTTTTATAAAAGTCGCATATTATTGGAAACACATATATTCGATCGAGGGCAATTTGGTTTTAAAAAAATGTTCTATAGTAATTATTCATAAGTTAAACCATTTAGAATATAATATTAAAAAACCAATAAATTCCCTATGCTGTACATGTAAAAACGACATCATTACGGTCCGACGCGCATTCTGGCGGAATGCGATAATTCCGGACCACTTTTATATACACAGTTCGGCGTCCTTCCTCTAATGTTCATGAATATAATATTAATATCACGGACCACGGCCTTAGAAGATAAGGTCGGGACTCTTAGCTTATTATTGTGCCCGCTTACAGAGGACATTTTAGTACTTATTTAATCCGCTATTTTAATAGCGCTTCTGTTCCAACTTTCTGCATTTTCCTATTTACCAACTTACCATCGGTCATCGACCATCGACTGCAGGGTGGCAAGTGACTTGCCACTGGCAACATTAAACATTGTTGCAAATTTAAAAAAAACATCGCTCCGCTCGGCGCTCAGATCTCAGAAGTCAGAATCTAAAACCGGTCACCAATTAATAATTAAGTATTTAGTATTAACTAAATAAAATAAATAAATAAATTGATGATAATGAATAATGATTTACTTTAATAATTAACCATATTATATTTTATTGTTTTAATATTTACAAATATGTACAGTACAATTTCAACGTTTGGTGCAGTAGGTACTTTCATGTATTATGTCGAATATAACTTAGCAATTTTTTTTTATTACGATTCAATTTTTTATTTTTATGATTTACTTGTTGGGAAAACTGCCTCATTCTCATACGTATGTAATATATAACTACGAAAGAAATTATATCAGTGGCATGTGTAGAACATGGTAAACTTAATTTGTGTTCACTCAATATTTCTTCTAAAATCAAATCAAAAACATAAGGTGAATTACAATATTTTTCAAATTTTTGTTCAATATTTTTAATAAAATAGAAGAAAGTTATATTTGAATGTATTAATCGTCCGTGGGTTTTCAGATTAACCAAAGCTGCTTGCATTTGCTGTGAATGTCCTTGATGAGATATAAATTATGTCTTACAAACTTGACAGTTATTTGTGTAATACATCAATTGTTTACATAAATAACCTGAAAAATCATTTGAATCATAGATTTAGTTGAAATCTAACCAATGCAAACAGTGAGTATAGTAGTGAAGTACAAATACTATTTGTAAAAAAATTTAGAAATGTCCGATGTATTTTTAAGTAGGTATGTTAATATGTTATTATATCTGAGCGCAAACGGAATAGAATTTGGTTTAAGCCTTGGCTTAGACAGGTTCATCTATACAAAATTATATTTAAAACTGAATATTTTTAAATATCCAAAGCTGGGCACTAACTAGTTAGTTTTAATTCATATTAACTTTGTAACTTAACTAGTTGAATTTAATCTGTAGAATAGTCTAATCTAACTCGTTAGAAAAAAACCTAAACTAACTAGTTATTATTCTTATTATTTTTTCACATTCCAAAATTCCAAAGCTGTTTCTCAATCATGACATTATATGGTTATATGCCTATATAGATTATTGGCTCATATATATTATTAATTATTAGTATTTATAATAATGCACATTTTTTTATTTTGTTTCACCCTCTAATAACTAATAACTGATATACCAATTAATTGAAATTATTACTTACCTAGTTAGAACATTTTGATCAAATTACTAGGTGTTTAATTCAATTTTCAGTTTTAATCAATAGTTTAAGTTAGAAACTTATTATTTACATTTCAACAAAAAGGTTTTTTTAATCTATAAAAAAAAACTAACTTCTAACTAACTAAGTTAGAAATTTGGACAGTTTCAGAAACTAACTTAAATTCTAACTTAGTTACTAAGTAACTTAACTCCAACTAGTTAAAAAAAATTGACTTACTTGCCCAGCTTTGTAAATATCCTTAATACAATATGTGCAATAATCAATCAATCAATGCAAATTTTTTTTAAATATTTACTATTTATATGTAGGTCGGACAATATAAAAACGAGAAAGACATTTTGTAATTTGATACTCACAGAAAATATAATGTTTCCATTGTGATCTTTTTTAATTACTTGTCGTTCTATATCATCAGAATCAAAATGATTTTCACAAATAACAAAATTATTTTTAAGTTTGATCCCAAGATTACTTTCCCATTGGGCTTTATTGCTTTAAGTACATCATTTTTGGGACAACTAAACACAGATAATTTTGAATTTTTATTGCAACTAAAAAAACAAATTAAATTGGGCATATTTAAGTTGAAAGAAACAATTCTTAAAACAACTACAATTACAGCAGTATGATATTATATATTAACAACTAACAAATATGTTTGTGAAAACAAAATTCTAAATTTACTATTCAGGAAGTATCAACATAATTTCTATTTCTATAATTCCATGTCCGTATACAAACTACAAATTAATATCTATTTATGGCTCTATATTATTAAATATACAGGATGATACAGGAGCAAGCATGCTCACACCTTTTTTTTCTAAATAATACAGTTATTCAAAATCTGATTTTTGGAATTTTTGAATATACTTTAAAATCATATTTTTAAATTCTTGAGATATTTTTTTACTACTTAAGAAGTTTTCAGTGGAGATAGAAACTTCTGTTTTCAAATGAGAACAACCCCTTTTCAACTGTAAATTATACAGTGGATAATTTTTCTGAAATTTTTGACGTATCAAAATCAAAATTCGTACTGGTAGTTTTTGAGTTAATTATTAGAGGAAAAAATAGGGGTGAGCATGCTTGGTGAATCACTCTGTATAATACAATATTTCTGTTTTCTAATTTCAATTACGATAATAATAATTTATTGTGATGTTTAATTTTCGTTTGCCGCTAAAATATTTTTAATTTTATTCATAACCTCAATAAAGTTCAGACCGAGGCGCCTAATAAATTAGCGGCGAAAAACGCAACTAAAATGTCCTCTCTAAGCGACCGAATTGATTAACGTTGTTAAATAGGGAAGTGTCCCGACCTTATCTTCTAAGGCCGTGTCACGGACTAATATCAAAACTTGAAGTAATAAAATTTATAAGCGTAACCGAATACTACAGAGTACAGATCCATATTATTTGGCTTTGGCGTAACTAATACAAGGAAATAAGCAATTACAAGTTACAACATATTTTATATTTTGAAATAGCAATGGGTCTAGACAACGAAAACCCAACTTTATTTGAAAAAAGCGAAGAGAGGACAGTAAGTGCAAAAGATTTGGATGACAATGAAGCTGAAGAGTTTGATTCAAGGGAAATCTTTGGTAAATAAGTTTTAGCATTTATAAATAAATAATAATACATTTTTACAATATTGCTGATCTATCATGCTTTTCTCAATATATTAGATTTGATTAGAGGAATAACAGATCCAGAACATCCACTGTCCCTTGAAGAACTAAGAGTTGTTGATCAGAGTTTAATTGAGGTAACTATTTACTAAAGTATATAAGATGATTACCCAACTAGGGGAAGTAATGCTCGTACAGTCATGTAGTTATGCTGTTAAACTCCATCTCAGCTGTACCATGAAAAAAATAACCACTAATATAACTATACATTTTGAATTAATTAATTTACCTATATATATTTATAAGTCTGAATAAGTCTGATTAGGTAGAAGTAACAAACTTTTTTACTTTCCATAATTATAAAACAACATTTAACTCGTTAAACTCTTCAAGCTTTTATGTTAACTTATATGTACACATATACAGTATTGAGTCGTATGGTGTTCACAATCTATCACTAAAGAATAATTCAGAATTAGTTATAACTTATAACCAACATTATTTTTTTACTATAATCTATCATTTTTAAGTATTTACTATAAAATATTATTTAAATAGATTGTTGTTATTTATGAAAGATCAAAATAACCTTTTTTATGTTTGTATAGTTATCTAGTTTTACTACTAACTTTAATGACTTTGTTACTAAATCGTTATAGTTTTATTAAACTCACTTTATTGTCAACCTTGAGAACCAATAATTTTTGTGGTAAATAAAAAATGATTTAAATCTTGGATTTGTAACCTAGAAATTCTTGATATTAGTTTTTTTTTGTTTATACTTGGTATCTGGATGTAAAATTGTGACAATTTGAAAAAACTTGCTTAATGTACTTAACGTACAAATGGCAGTTAACATAGATAGTTTATTGATAAATACTACCAATTGTACATATTACTTACCTTGTTTATGATATATGGTAGTAGTGTATAGTTGTATATTCAATAAGGAAGCTATTAAATTAGTTAACTTAAACAAAATTATGGACCCTGTAATATATACCCATTTTATTGCATTGCGATTCTTAAGTTAGAGACAATATTTTTCTATACAGATTGTTTTTATACATTTTTTCTAAATGCATACTATCTTTATATGTATTTAAATGTTCTCAACAAAATAATATACAATAGTTTCATAAATCGAACACTATACATCAAGGTTGGCACTGTGCACCAGTGCGTCATGTTTTACTGCAGTTTGTAACATAAAAATTATGAAAAACATTTGTCTTACAATTTGAGTATTTATATGTAAAACAGAGCTTGACTAGAAGTTTAAAGTATGACCATGTTATCAATAATTTTATGTTGAAAATTAGATTTTGATATATTTAATACTATTAAAACATATTTTTATGTTATAGGTTGAAGATAGCATCAATACAGTTAAGGTATTATTTACACCAACTATTCCTCATTGCAGCATGGCTACATTAATTGGATTATCTATTAAAGTTCGACTTTTATGGTGTCTACCACCGCGCTTTAAAATATCTGTTACCATAACACCAGGTACTCATGCATCTGAACACGCTATCAATAAGCAATTAGATGATAAAGAAAGAGTGGCTGCAGCTTTGGAAAATACACATCTATCAACCGTTTTAAATAAATGCATAGCTACTGCATAGGTAATCACTATTTTAATCTTAACATTTATATTTGTTCTAAAGGATATATACATATAAATATAGTCATTAATACATTTTTAAATATTAATAGTACATGATTTTACATAAAAACAAACATTTACTATACTACCACAATTTGTATTAATTATCATTTAATTATCCTTTAATTATCCTTGGATGCCTTCAACCATTTTTGGATTATATTTACATGTCTTTTAAGTTTTAGCCAATGCTGCTCAACCGGCTCAAGCTATGTATGATCTTAATTCTTAAGTGTAAATGTTCCTTTTCTATGATTTCTTTTACAACTTGCAAAATTGTTCACGCTATGAAAAAAGTGCATCAAGTTATTTAAAAAATGTTATGTGTTTGAGAAAACTAAGTAAAGTTTTTTACATTCTTTAAGACTAAGCTCTCCAATAACTCTTTTCTTTTTGACTTTGGTTTTCTACATTCCCTTTTACTTTTATATTAAAATAATTCCTTACACTTAGTATTTTCAAAAATAATATTTGGCCTAGTGATATAAAATTAAGTAGATAGAAGCCAAGTATAATCATAGTGCTTAAAAACAGTAAAAGTAATGTGTTCAACCGATAAATTATACTGAATTTGTTTTTATCCACTGTTAACAATGATGAATATAATAAAAAAAGAGGTAACAATTTTTTTAGTTATTATTATTATTATTTATTCTTGCAGTATGGCGTTGAGATGTTACAACTAAAAGAAAAACTAATAGATGTAATTTGATAGTACCTGAAAGAAGAAATACATTTTATGTTGTAATATTATTTTTATATAAAAATTTCATATTTAAATGTATTTGTTTAACTACCTATTTTAAATTTAACAAACTTTTAACCATATTAAAAATAAATACAATTACTTATTTTGTTATTTTCATAAACAAAATTAAAACACATGTGTTATGGTAATAGTATCATTGGTATCATGCAATATAAAAATCTATTTAGCGGACTCAGGGCCGTCCCTAGGGCATGGCAAGCGGGGCCCTAGCCCTGGGCCAAGCACCTTCACCAGTTAGACAGGCCCCGCTTTTGTAGATACAATAAAAAAAGTCAAGTTAATGAGAAAAAAAAATTATTATTTATATATTTTTATACCTTCATATGTTGTTCAATTTTCCTACCTATTATACGGCTATACCTACTTGTATTAATTGACGTCAGTCTTCAAATAAATGTATTGCATTTGAAACGAGTTAATATGATTAAAATTGTAAAAAATCTTCAAAGCTCTCCGTCCCAAAAAAAGGCACCAACTTAGCTATAATATTTATAGAAAGAAATGCTGACTAGCCAAAATGTATATTTATATTTAATTTTTTATTGACATATTTGCTAATTTAAGGCGCAGGAAGGTTAATTTATAATATATATGATTCTAAGCGGAGCGAAAAAATTGATTGATTTTACAATTGTGTGTGTTTTTATTTGTTTTGTAATGCTCATTTTGGGTAGTAAAAGTGCTCTGATTTTCGAAATCAGCATCTTTACTGATAGAAAAGTGAAACTAGTTGGTATTTTTGGGAAGTCAAAATTATAAATTTCATGTAGTTTTAAAAAGCGTTGAGAAAAACAAAAAATAGGTGACATTTTTACAAAACCAATTTTTGAAAAATTGATTTTATTTTTTTGGTGTACCTCAAAAATTAATAAGTGTAGAACCTTGAGATTTCCGACAAATATTTATATACGAATTTTCCATAAAGTACTTTCTCAATATTTTGACTATTTTTGAGCTAGTTATAGCCTTGAGCCCTTGAGAAATTTTTCCATTTTTCTAATTTTTTTTAAAATTATCCTCAATAAAATCTTTTTCATTTAGTAAAAAATCTTGAAAATGTAATGATAGGTTCCTTATAACTTTCATTAATTGAAGTTTAAAAAGTGGGTCACTGTATAATGGATGCTATTAAATTTGAATTCAATGATACAATATCATTGTATAAGAAAAACAATTCTGAGCGAAGACGGTTTGTCAGTCTAGGTTTAAGATATATTATATACATATCTATGGTATTAAAAAAAAAATTTGACCTATGATAAATTCCAAATTAATCATATCACAATATCCATTAGGTACTTATAACACGTTATACATCAACAAAAACCGTGATACTATCATAGATATATAATAGTACACTTTAGAAGTTTCAAGTACCCACGAATAATATTATTCAATCACAACAAAATAACTAAAATAGTTATTCTAGGTTTTTTAAAATGTAATTTCGTCCAAATTTGAATTTAAAATGTCTGTAAAAAATAACTGTGTTCATATATTTTTTAGATTTTTTGGTTATAGTATGAACTATTTATGAGAACCTTTATGTTGAATTTGTAATCCTTAGCTATAAAAACTGAACATTTTATAATTATTAATTACAATGATTGATAATTTTCGAGATTTTGATAAATTTTGTCAAAATTTGATCTTTAAATGCTTATAAAAAAAAACTGTGCCTATGTATTTTTAATATTTTTCAACTGCTATTGTAACAATATATCAGGAGCCTTGTATTAAATTTTTACACTTTTTGGCCCAACAGATAAAACTTTATTGATATTCATAAAAAAAAAAAAACTAAAAAAATTGAAAAATGAAAATATCCGTAAACAGCTCAAAAAGAGTCAAAATATTTTCAAAATTGTATGGTGTACAGGAAATGCTAATATAAATATTCAGTGAAATTTTCTTGTATCTATACAGTTATTCGTTTTTGAATTACAACGAAATAATGAAATCGCTACATGAGAAATCGAGTGAATATCCAATGTTGTAAAAATTTAATTTGACTGTCCGGTAGAGATTTTTTTATTGATAAAGGTAGACAAACTTATGAGTAATCTTGTATTAGATTTTCAAATGTTAGATTTAAAAAGAAAAATTTTTACGAATTCTTAACTCAAAATAATTTGCTAATTTTCGTGATTTTTCCATATTTTGTCAAGTTTTGAACTTTAAATGCTTATAAAAAAAAACTGTGACTAACGATTTTTAATATTTTTCATCTGCCTTTGAAACAATATACTAGGAGCCTTCTATAAAATTTTCAAGTTTTTTTAACCAACAAATAAAATTTTATTGATATTTCTAGAAAAAAAACTAAAAAAAAATTAAAAATGAAAATGTCCCTAAACAGTTCAAAATAAATCAAAATATTTTGAAAATGTTATCGTGTATAGAAAATGCAAATATAAACAACCACTGAAAATTTCATGTAGGTATCTACTGTCATTTGTTTTAAGGTTACACCAAAAACCAAAATCGATTTTCTCGAAAACAGATTTTGCGTAAAAATTCCCGTTTTTCCTTAATTTTTCCCGGTGCTTTTAAAAACTACTGAGAAATTTAAATTTTGACCTCCCCAATGCACCAACGATATTCACTTTCCAATCGAACAAGATACTGAAGTTGAAAATCGAAGCATTATTTCGACTACTTATCGTGTATTCGTGTACACAGACAAAAAAAGTAAAAAATAAATAAACACACATCATTGTAAAATCAATACATTCATCGTTTCACTCAGAATCTAAAAAATATAAAAACACATATCATTGTAAAATCAATACATCCATCGTTCCACTCAGAATCTAAAATAGATATGCTCAATTATTTGTAAGATGCTTGATATGATGATAATATTTTTTCTTTTCATAGCTAACATAAGAAATTTTAATAGGTTTCCAACAAGTTGTTATACCTCTATCAAACTAAAAAAGTTCCTCTGAAAGTCAGTACAGTCACGTTTTCGATCTTTGTTAATTTATTTTTAACTACTAAATTTAATGATTTATACAAGTGTGCTAGGCTGATGCAACTTTTCCGCTCAGAATATTTTTATCAATGTAATTTAAATATAACACTTCCATTACAACGACATGCTTAACACCCACTTGTCACTTTTATTCATATTGTATTATATTGTTCTGTGATTACTGATTATATGCCTATACTTATTAATTTATCAACATTATTATATTAATTTTAAATATATTACGTGTTTTGTTATCAATTAATTTACTTATTCATATTATTGTAAGTAGGTACAAGGTACTAAATTTTTAAATATATTTGGGAGTAGCCCCCTTATACCTAGCCACCTAGGTATATATCATAATATTAAATATTTAAATATATGTAACTGCCAACTGACGATAATGACATTTTAGGCCCAGCAAATTTACTCTGACCTGGGCCCCGCAAATCGTCAGGACGGCCCTGAGTGCCCTAGAATGTTGTTGAATACCGTAGGTGCTCTCAGTAGCTACAAATAACAAATAATCAAAAACAATTTTTCATCTATTTATATAATTTGTGAACATATTAAAAATTAATATTTCTTGAATAAGACATCAATAATGGCCGCATAATGAAATATGGCCTCATGGCTTATTGCATTAAAATTATGGTTAAAGTTTAAAATCAATATAAATATTTATAGAAAACGACCAAATCGTCCAATGATAATAATTTATAATTTAAAATTTAAAAAAGTATTATGTATCTGCAGTTATTTTTTTTAGTTACACCAAACGATCAAAACCTATTTTGTCAAAAACACCCGTTTTTCTTTAATTTTTTTTCCTTGTCGGTTTTGAAAAATGCTGGGATTCTTTAAATTACCAACTTTCCCACTAGAAAAGATAATGAAGTTGAAAATCGAAACTATATTAATTCAACTATTTATCGTGTATAAATTTTAAAATCACTGTCTTCATTGCGCCCCTCAGAATCTTATAATATTATGTATTTATGTATGAGATACAATAATATTGTCATTAGTAGGTAGGTACCCTATTATTTATTATTAGAAAAGTATGTTAATATAAATAGTTCTAATAATTCTTGTATTCAGTCTTCACTCTTCATGGTAATAAATTAAATCTTCTTTGTCATCATAGACCTTATAATATACCTTATAAGCTGGTCTATGTTTGTCATGGTAAATGGTAATAAGGTAATAACTACCGTATAGATAAGAGTCATCTCATCCTTCAATGACAACTTACTGTTGGCATGCCTGCTGAATAGGCCTGAGCACGGTTGTATTATAGATATCTTAAACTTAAGCCGTGGCCTGAGGCAGCTTGCTAACAGCTAACACCATATTATTGCGGTCTGCGACCACTGATAACGTCGATTGATATTTTGATAACGTTCTCGACTTCTTGACTCTGGTATCGCATTTCTACGCACCTACTACCTATAGAAAAACGAAATAGTAATAATATATTTTTAAGTTATACATTATTATTATTACTGTAATATTTACGTTTTTGCACGCGCACACTGCAAACGACAATAACGGCGTACTACCCATTAAATGGCACCCAAACGCTACAGTCTTCGCGTCGCATAAAATGAGGTACAGACGTCTGACGTGCCCGATGAGTTTTTCACAAACACACCGCCGCCGCCGTGCACAGCGATTTGGCGCACGTCCGAAAATAACGCGAACGATGTGTACTCTAATTCATATTACTCTACTTTTTTGATCAATACAGCAGTCTACACAAACGCCTATCCGCGTCATAAAGTTCTCAGTGGTACGGAGGACGGTGTAACCAGACCCGCAACCGCCGGACCTACAATACATCGAATCGCCAAAATTATCCGACACCCCCGTTCCGTTGGCTGCAATCTCAAAAAGAAATATTATCAGGTGTGTTACTACTTATTGCAACATTTTAAAGTAAAGTATCAATCAACTTAAATCGAAATTTAAAAGACTGTATTAATAATGTTGATAACTAAAAGAATGAAAAATATTTTCTGCAATTAATATAAAAAATGCTGATCTATGTTTATAATACATACAAGGTGATTCGCTTAGCATGCTTATCTCTTTTATTAAAATTTTGATTATTTCAATTTTTTATTGTAGGTATATTTTCTGGGTAAATGGATATTTTCCCCTGACTGTTGTCAGTGTAGTAGAACATCTTCCCCCGATACAGTTTTTGATAATTTTCCATCCATACTTAATTTTTAAAAGTTAATTATTTATTATTTAATATGATTTATGAAGTTATTTTTTTTTTGTCTGGATCTTAAAAATGGATCATCTTATGATTTCCTACTTCACTGAAAGCAGCATGTGGGGGGGGGAGGGAATATCATGGATTAATTTTCAGATGCCTAATTAGTAATTACTAATTTTTATACCATATAAGGAGTGTCCTTATTTATATAGACTTATTTTAATCTAATGAGAACCATTCTTTTTAACTATAAATAAAATTGTTTAGTAGACAATTGTTTTTTTAGATTTTATGCATCTAAACAGGCGCGTACTGGGTCCATTTTCCCTACTGGGAAACTGAATATAATTAGGGCCCACTTACTAATAGCAATGAGTCCCATGTATACCTATAACAAAAGCCAGGTTATCTAGCCATTTCTTAGGACATGCCCTCAAAAGTACCTTTTTTTTTATACCAATTCCCCCCAAACTACCTAGAGCAAAATGTACCACTTGCCCTCATATGCAAATATGTATTTGATTAAAATATATAGCCCATAAAATAGGGGACGTAAGTATACAAATAGTAATTATTATAACAAAACATAGTTCATAATATTAGATCAAATTTTTTCTTTTTTTTTGACAAATTATCACATTGAATATCACATAATTATAATATTTATTATTTTTTTGACTTTTATATTCATATTATTTTGTTAGTAATTATTATTTATTACAAAATACAATATTAGGTATATATTCCAAGCATATGAATTTTTTTCCATCATTTTATATTATTTTAAATAATTTTATTTATTATTTGTATATTCACCTCCCCTATTTTACGGGCTATATATTGTAATAGTGTATATAGTATATATTAACATGCAGTGGCATATATAAGGGGTGGGCACAGTGGGCTGCAGCCCCCCTCCCTTTGAAAACTACAGTCTTTTTAAATAGAACAACAATATATTTTATTAGGTACTATATAAGTTATAATATTTTATACCCTGTTGAAAAATAACAAATACGAATATATTTATAGAAACTGTTAAATATATAGTAGACAATAGCTTCTAAGTAATAGATCACTTGCTAGTTTCTGTCTACTAAAGCCCACCCCAAAAATTATTTCTATTTACGCTACCGTTAAACATGTAAGGGCAATCGGTACATTCAGTTGGGGGCAACTGGTACATTTGGTTGAGGGCAACTGGTATATTTTTAAAATACTGATAACAGCCGTGGGGAGCAACTGGTCAACACCCATTTCTTACACTAAGAAAAAACTTATAGGAGCGCATAAGGTGAATAATTAGGAAGTGCTAGAATAATTCATATTTCATAGATCTCACTGACTCTCTCTAAATACTATATGCTCAATAAATTAAAAAAATACATTTTATTGAATTAATAAGAGATAAATAATTTTATTACAAATCAATCACAAATATTAACAATTAAGGATAATAACAAGATTATGTTTTTGGTTTGATAACCCAATTTATTTATATTTTTAAAGTAGGTTAACAAAAACATCAAAAACAAAGTTTAGCTCTTAATTTTAACTTGGGAATGTAAGCATGTAATGTTTCCCCTATGTGTGCCAATAATTTTAACAAAGTAATAATTATTAATGTGTTTAAAAATGTATGCTAGTAAAAAGTTGTAATTTTTAGAATGGAGACTGAATGTAAATCAATTTCAAATCAAAAAAATGAGTCTGCTCCAAGTTATAATTGGAAGGATGTTACTCCAGAATTTTTTGATTCAATCAAAGGTAATATAGTTATTATTGTCTTGCGGACCGAATATATCAATATTTTTGTAGGAGATCTTTTTAGTTTTTATACCACCATTTTATAGGGTAACTTTTCCCGGTTTATTGAGTGAGTGATCTTTACGAATCTCTAAGAGTGCTGTTAAAAATGGGTGGGATATTGTATAAGAGATCTTGTTTGTAAAATCTAGAAGTGTCATTGATTATATTATTTATTTGATTGATTTAACGGGCTTCAGCCATTTAAATATAAGGTATAATTTATTACATATTACTAATAAGTAATAATTATTACCGTTTTGGTCATCTAGGGTGGCATACAAATATAAGAAATTTTTTGTTAACCTAACTGGTGACAAAAAATTTAAGTTTTTTCATAACCTATTCATGGCAACAACCTCTGCAATAACTTTACTTAGGCCAAAGCCCTGCTAGATATGTAAAACTAATGGTAGTATATTTTATTCTTTATCTTTAACTTAAGTTAATGTTAAACTTATAATATATAACCAACACAACTTCCATTAACCAATATTTAATATACTTCTTAAATTAATACATAAATCATTAACATGTATACAATTGAAGAATAGAAGATAAAATTTAAAAAAAATTGTTATCAGTCATCAAATTTACCTCCTATTCTTTTTGACGTGCTTCTGTAACTTTCAATCAAGTTAAAGATATATTTTATATCAAACATATTTAATTTTTTTTAATTATGAATTTGTGTTGGGAATGTATTATTTTTCATATTAAATTGATGGATTAGTTTCAATAGTTATAAACATAATTAGGTAATTAATGTTTAATGTTAGGTACCTATTTATAGTATAATCATTTTTTTAGTAATTGATCTTAAAATATGTATCATTTAAACTGTGAGGTAGTTGTAACAATTTTTTTCAATCCAATACATTTTTGCAATGCTTAAATAAAATATATCTACTAAAACTCATGAAAATGATTTATAATAAAATATTTACAACAAAAATTAATTTATTATGGTTTTCTCTTTACTTACTATATTTTTAAAATATAAATATAAACTTTTTTATTTTTCAGAGTTAGAATTAGGTGAACTTTTACATGGCTACTTCTTTGGTTTATTTGAAGCAATGTCAGCTATTGAAATAATGGATCCCAAAATGGATGCAGGCATGATGTGTAATCGTGAATCAAAAGCAATAAAAGTGAAACTAATGCTTATTTATTATATATTATTCATTCATTAATTTATAAATCTGTCAAAAATGACAGAATATTGAGAAAAATTCATTTTAGTTTTTATCATAGTAAAATTTGTTTAAGACGCTCACGCTTAAGGGGGTCAGAGCCTGTGCATTTTTTGTTACAAAAACATGTCTTATAGGAAATATACTCACGCACTGTAGAATAGTCGTATTTCGTTATTTTTTTTTTTATTTCTAAATTAAGAACATTTTGTAGGTCGGAGTAAGCCCGATTTTGAAAATTATAATTGAATGGGTTAGTGGATGAAGGTGTTAACTCACAATTTTTAAATTTTTCAGGAGGATAGTTTTAGTGGTTTAATTATATAAACGTTTGGAATTTTTTAACTGTTCAAATGCTAAGATTTTTTAAAACAAAAATTATGTATTTTAAAGTGATAGATAATACTCTGAAATTTTTTAATTTAATTATACATTTTATCTGCTCATATGATAGTAGGGAATATAATACAATAACACCTTAATCCACAAAACAAGAACGACAGACTATATAAATAACACCTTTATCAATTTGATATCTCCATAAATATATGTTATTTTGTTCTGATATTTGTATAGCCTATGTAATACGTCATAATGCATTATTTTGTATAATAATAACGATTTAAAAAAAATTTCAGTTAACACCTTCATCCACTAACCCCCTTCAATTATAGAAGCTGGAATGTGCATTCGGACAATGCACAATATTTGTTCTTTTTCAAACTTATTTTTCTACTATTGTTTAAAGTAAAATAAAAATTTGAGCTTTGATCCGACCTGCAAAAACTTCTCATCTTTCAGATAAAAAAATAATTACCAAAATCCGACATATTAATGAGGCTTGAGAGTTTTTCCTATAAAAGCATTTATGTTCATCCAAATAGTGCTTCGATAAAACTCATCTATGTCATTCATTGACTTGTGCATGCGCGTACGTAAATATTTTTATCTGCACGTGTAATTATAGTTCACTCACACCAATATCGATTAACATACTCACACACATGCACGTTCCGCGTAAAGCCGATACAACACGTGAATTGCCTAAATTGTACTGCTTAATAAATGACCGGCACCGACACCCTTAACCCTATAGATTTAAAATATTCATGAAGTGAATACAGCATGGCAATAATCATAGTCAACTAGCAATAATATCACCAGTCTCAATGAAAATATCATAACTATTAATTTTGTTTATCGAGCAGCAATTATTAGAAACACAATTTAAAAATAACCCATAGTTTATTTTTTACGATCACGCACACGGGTCTTTTTGATCGTATATTAATAGATAATGTCTGGTAATGAACTTTGAACACTTCTATATTACTGATATCAGATCGTATACAGTTGGGAGTTGTAACTAATTTTAGTTTATCACCTAATTAGAAGCTACCTAGGTTATATTAGGTTTATATTTCGTATTTTTGAAACAATGAACAAAATTCTAAAAGTCCGGTCTTTTTGACTGTGAAGCATGTGCTCTGGGGTTAACACACTCATTGTCCTAAGTCCCTTGATGAAAAATGTCCAGCTTAATAATTTATTTTCAACTGGTCCCTTGGAGTCTTCTTAAACATATTTTACTATATACTAATTAATATGTAATAATTGTATAAATAAGATTTAAAAAAAAAATGTATAATTAAGTGTATTAATATTTGTTATTAAATATAATTATTACAGTTAGAGGATTTGAAATTGAGTGGCCTTTCTGTGTCTGAACAAATATCTATAATAGATGTTACATTAGCTTGTCTTGTATCATGGCTTGAAGGGCATTCTTTAGCACAAACGGTATTCACAAATCTATATTTCCAAAAGCCATATGAAATTGAAGATGTTCCATTGAAAGCATTTTGTATATGTATTTATAAAATCATTGAAGAAATTAGGGACTTTGCTAACAGGTAATATTTTTATATTTAAAACTAGTAATTAGTATTTTCAATATTGTGTACTACAAATTGCATATAATTTTATTCTTCAGGGCACAAGTTTTTGAAGAAGAAGATTTTCAACCTGCGCTATATAGCTATCATTATTTTAATGAAATTTCTGTCACTCGTGTAATTGGTATGATGAGAGAAGTTGATGAGTCAATAAATCATAAACTAAAATCAAATGCAAATAGTGATGAAGTACAGTACATGGATTATTTTTAGTAAGCTCCAATTTAAATTTTAAACAATTTTTCTTTTACAGAATGAATCTTATGTTGCATTAAATACACGCATTAAGTTTGTTAGACTTTTTTTTCAAATTTTACTTTCTTTTAATCGTCGTGAAAATCATTCGAGTTCAATGGGAGAAACCCAGAGGTTGTTAACTACTTGTGGATTATTGATTCCTTCTTTAATAAATACTGTGGATAAAGGAGTTCCCAAAGTTGGCAGTGAGAAAACTTAAAAATATTCCTATTTCATGCTCTTATTCTTTTTTTTTGTATATTTTTCAGACTGGTGTTATGATTTGGGCTTTGACCCTCTAATAAATCAAAAATTATTACCGCCTACATTTCCTCGTTATACAAAAATTAAACCAGCTGGTGAAGCTTATGTTTATTTTGATTTGTTGTTAACAAGACTGAAACAAATTTGTAAATTGACAAATTGTGCAACTTTTATTAGTGCTTTGGTATTTTATGCTTTTATAAAAAATTATATTACTAATGAATATAATTTGGTTCTGTACCTAATATAATTTTTTAGGAATGTTTTATTGAACTTGGTCATAACAGTCACTTGTGTATCGTATCAAGATCAATAATGCAAACTCTTTATTTTCCTCAACCTGGTCAAGTTTTTGGTACTCAGGATTTAGAGGACTGTCTTCGAGAATGGGCTAAGTCATTTATAGCACCACCATCACTCATACCACGTTTAAACATTCTGTCTAACTCTCAAGTAATATTTTTATTTTCTACCTTTGTAATACAAATAAGATAAAAATAAAAAAAAATGTACTTTATATTTTTAGGCTAAGGATTGTATACATAATTTTTTTGATCATTGCACTCGTCCATTTGCTGGGTTGATTCAGATTTGTGGTCACAATAAAGCTAGGCAAAGGGATAAATTAGCACATCTTATGGAAGATTTTTCAGCACTACAAGATGAGGTACATATTTAAAAACAATATATTTTAATGTATAATTTTGTAACTTATTGATTATTAACCAACTTATTTATTAAATAAATGTATTATGTTATTTAATCATCAGTCTCAGAGGGTTGATGCTTTTTTGCACTCATTCTCATCAAAATTGGATCCACCTAGAGAGCATCTAGCTAGCTTTAGCACATGGATAATTTATCATACAATTAGAATTATGATAATGTACTTACTGTCTGGTTTTGAATTGGAATTGTATAGTCCACACGAATATCAGTATATTTATTGGTAAGCACTTCTAAAAATGTTGTTATGATTTTTATTGATAAATTGTAATCATTTTAGGTATTTATATCAATTTTTGTATGGTTGGTTAGTGTCTACATTAAATAGAGCTGATAATGTGTTGCTTGGCAGTGATTCATTAGTTGATTCTCAAAAGAATCGAACAAAGCGGAATAAGCCTAAAAAGAAAAAACCACATCCATATAGCCAAGAAATTGTTATGTGCCATGCAATGCAAAGTTTAACGGGTGCTTATTTCAAGGTATCTGAATAAAAAAGCCATACATAATATTAATATAAGATTTTGTAATATTTTTGAATATTTAAAAAAATGTAATTACAGTTTACAAGCAAATGTTAAGAGGACGCTACCCATGCATTTGTTGTCTCCATCTTACACACGCAGGGCTTAGCAAATTTCCATTTCCTAGTATAAATAGGGTGTTGTTAGTTTTAATATTAGAATGATTTGACCTATTATCACACTTTTATGTAAGAATATTATCTGTGCTTAAGCCTTGGCGATTTTACTATAATTTCAATTTCAAGTAAGATATGTGTATGTGAAATATCAAAAATTGAAAATGCTCATATCTCGCTTGAAAATTAAAATATCGAATAAAAGCCAACTCTTAAGCACAGATAATTTTATTATCTAAAAATGTTTGAATAGGTAAATTCACTCTAGTATCAAAACTAACAACATACTATTGAAACTAGTGAACGAAAATTTGGTATGTCGTAAGTGTGTAAGACGGAGACAACAAATGCATGGGTAGCGTCCTCTTAACAGAAACTACAAAGTTAGATATTATAAATTATATTTTTCTAAAAATATTTAAATACTTATTTAAACACTATTTAACTATTTTTTTTTTTTGTTATAGACATTGGTTGGATTTCAATTAGAAGGTAAAATCCGTACTCCAAAACATGCAAAGTTTGACAATGAAAAAGTTCGTTATGAACACAGATTTGCTGCATTCTCAGCAGTAGCTGTACCACCACCGTTTTCGTATAATGAATTTCAAATGACTAGATGCCAATTACGTGATTCAGTATCTGGGGATTCTGGAATGTTATATTTGAATAGCTGTGAGCTATTTCACCAAGCAAGGTGTTTACTAGATACAATTGCACAGCCACACTCGCAACAAGTAACTACTAAATTTTATAACTTTATTGCTTTGCTTTAACAAATACTGAATTATGTGTATTCTTTTTAGGTACTTGATTTAATAAAAGTGTGTAAAACAAATTTTGTAACCATGAAGTTGCTAGCTAGTGGATATATGAGAGGACCAGATGTATCGTTGGACTTCGACTTCTCAACTAATTCTTACTTTCCTATATTAAAGCTCAGCTAATCTTGAACAATATTTTTAGACTTCAAAGATGTTTAATTATTTAAAGACTGTTTGAACCCAAAATAATTAAACACAAAATAATTTAATCATTAAAATTGTATGTGGATTTTGTTTGTTTTCTTTTTTATATTAATGCGTTGAAACCTGTTGTGATGTAAAAACAAAAACTTTTTGTCTAATATATCATTAATTAATATACTTATAACATACTATTAATATATGTATATAAATATATAATGTGTGATACAAGAAAGTGAATGCTTTTTATTTTATTTTTATTGATCAATTTTATAATAATATAAGAATTACAATAAACTGTGGGGTCCATAATCATCAATCCACCATAATCTTGGGTATTTATGATCCTTTACTATCAAAGCTTGATCAAAAGTTCTACCAATAGAATCCTTGTGACTGAGGGTGTTTTAGCTTCTTTTTACAACCTCTATGCCCCATACACATGCATTTCGTTTTGATTCATTAAAATCTAATTATGTTTCGTTTAAACATATTACATAGCAATGGTTAGCCAATGCATAGGTTACAGAAAAAAATTAACTAAGACCAGCCGATCTGCTGTGCGTTGGTATAGGATTTTTTTAAATAAAATAACATAATATTTAATTTATAATTATGTTTATAATTAAAATGTATGCAACAAAAGGCAATATCGTAAATTATAGACTCAAACTATGATTTTGGCGATAGTCTTATATTGATTATTATTTGAGATATCACGAGAATTTAGAGAATAGTTTGAAATTATGCCAATTGTTTTTTTCAATCCACCACATGATTGTCCATCTCGATCGAATCCGTTCATAAATATATTTTAAACAGTTTTATACTTTATTTTAACTATAGTGATTGAACAGGTTGAAAACTGTTTTAAAACGACGTTTCTGTTACATAGATTATTAGGTAGAAGGAGCTTATTTTTTCTTTTGGAAATGGCGGCAACTATATATTTAAATAGCGGTCTTAATGTTAATACGAAAAAATTCGGAAAATGTTACTTTTTATTTACATAGATGTCTGCAACATACCTGTTGAATGGATTTTTAATACAAATTTAACTTATTATATTTTTTGATTGAAGGATTTAAGATCCAACTTCAAAACTAATACAGACAGTTTATCCCGTCATTGAGTAACACTTTTGGCAAAAAAAAATTTCAAATATTTTAATTATAGTGATTGAACGGGTTGAAAACTGTTTTTAAACGACGTTTCTGTTACTTAGATTATTAGGTAGAGGATTATATGTTTTCTTTTGCAAATGTTTGCAACTATATTTTTTGATTGGAGGATTTATTTTTTTATTTATTTAGAATTCAACGGCCCTTTTACAAAATTGAATGTGGTATATACCTAGACCAATAATGTATAGAAAACATTAATTACAGAAAATAATAATTATTAAGAACAATACTAAGTAATATTGAAACGTATATAAATATATAAGTATACAAACAATTAAAAATATAAAATACATAAAAACAAAAAAGAAACAATAAAGAAATCACTGATTGACGAGGACTAATATTAAAATTATAAGGTTTCTTCTAAAAACATAATTGACATAAATCTGAAAGTATCACGAGGAGTATTGAAAAGATCTAAGGAGATGGAGACTAAATTATCAAGTTTCAGAGCTCTAACAATTAACAAAGAATGAGTCATTGCTTGATATGGATTTGAAGAATGGGATTGCAAAAAGATCATGATTTCTCGAGTGGAAGGAGGGAATACGGAAATTGACCTGAGTTAGAAGCTCAGATCTTACAACATTATAGAATATAGTTTAGCAAGTCGTATACGAACATGTTATCAAATAGTTGACGTCTTAGTTGGAGGGAGCCTAAGTTTACTAATTTTTGAACTGGCATAATGGAATCTTTAGAAATGGGTATGTTTTTCATATGGACAGTTATTTTTAAGAATTTAAATTGAATATTATCTAGATCATGAATATCACTTCATAACGATTGACTCCAAATTAGTGATGCATATTCAAGAACAGATCGTACAAGGGAGCAATACATTGTTTTTATTGTAGTAGGGTTATTAAACTGTTGAGTGTTCCTATTTATGAATCCTAACATTTTATAAGATCTGCTGAGCATATGCTCATGATTTAGCTTAAAGGATAAATCTGAGCTAAAGAGAACACCCAGATATTTTATTGAATAAGCTCTATTTAACACTATATTATCTAAAGAGTAATTGTAAACAATAGGATTTTTACAACGAGTAAAAGAGACAACTTTACATTTCTCTATATTTAGAGGAAGAAATTTATTTTTTGTCCAAATTGAAAATTTAAGCATGTTATTTTGCAAATTGATTGAATCATTAATTGAATTGATTTGGGTAGAAAATTTAGCATCATCAGCAAAAAGAAGAACTTTTACGTCGTTACTGAAAATTTGGGGCAAATCATTTATAAATAATAAAAAAAGAAGAGGTCCTAAGTGAGAGCCTTGTGGTACACTAGCTAGATTGCTAGATAACACTTGAAACTCTTTTGAAATTTGAAAGGAAATTTTTACTACTTGTGTTCGATCGTGCAGATATGAGACAATCCATTTCCAAAACGATCCAGAAATACTGAAAATTTTTAATTTGTATAAAAAAAGTAAGTAAATGATTTATTTTATCGAAGGCTTTTTGGAAATCGGTATAGATAGTATCAACTTGATTTTCAAAGGATTTTATGAGATCAGACTGATATATTAATAGATGAGTAGAGATAGAGTGTTTCTCTAAGAAGCCATGCTGAGAAGGACTTATTAAATTCGAAGTAATGATGATAACTTCTTAGTGATAATTGCTTCGAACATTTTTGGTATTAAAGATATTTTAGTTATTGGTCTGTAATTACGAACATTATTTTTACTACCAGATTTTAAAATGGGGGTGACAAAAGATTTTTTCCATAGTTTGGGAAAAATACCTTGATTAAGTGAACGGTTAAATAAAATATGTAACGGTTTAATAAGAGAATGTTTACATGATTTCAAAAACGAAGGTGGTATCCCATCTGGTCCTACACCTGAATGTGCATTTAAAGTATCAAGCGCTTCCAAGATTTCTCCTTCTGATATATTCCAAGAGTTAATGTAAAGATTAAAATTATTTGGAGCTTCGAAATCAAAGTAGTCGGTGTTTGAATTTGGATCAACAAAGACAGATGATAAGTAGGTAGCGAATAAATTTAAGATTTCTTCAATGGTATTCGATTTGTTATTATCTAGGAAAACTATTGCAGGAATGTTATTTGAATTTGATCTAAGTGATTTAATGTATTTCCAAAATGATTTTATGTTGTAATTAATGTTAAGCTCTAAATTAGAAATGAATTGATTATGAGCTAGTACCGATAAGTTTTTACATTTTTTACGCAGATCAGAAAAAGTGTCATAATTAATATTAGAATTAGTTAGTTTATATTTTTTGTGAGCTAATTTTTTCAATTTTATTAAGTTTCTCAACGATTTATTCGACCAGATAGTATTTTGTACATTGTTGGTATTCAACTGAATTTTTGGAACAAAAACATCAAAAGAATGAAGTATCATTTCATGAAACTTTAGTACAGTCAGTACAGATGAATCCAAATCAATTGAGTTAGGTAAGATTCGATATAAAATCTAAGTCATCAAGGAAAGAACAAATATTATTAAAGTTACAGGCTTTAAAATTATAAATGATAGGATTGGTTGAGATTGAGATTTGAGATACTAGTACGAACCTCACAAATGAAATAAAGTATTGGGTGATAAGCATCCGGTAGAGGTGTTAATGAGGTTCCAATCCGCACAGTGTTTATTTGTAAATTTGAGAATATCAAATCAAGAGTTTCATTTCGAAAATTAAGTACATTATTATATTGTTTAAGATCCAAATAATTGACAAAACTGTTTTTAATAACATTAATAGCTGGGTTATGGGATAATTCCTTATCTTGGGAAGTGAAGTTCGATAAATTAAAATCACCTATAAGTAAAATATTAGTATTCGGATGTAAATGTATTGTATCTAAATAAATAAATAAAAAATAAATCGAGGTTCACTGATTTGAACATGAGGTACACAAAAACCGAGATAAATGATAATATACCTCAGTTTTTGATGTTTGGTTATACAGCTAGTAGCTACCTATATAATTATATCACAGTCTACAGACTAAGATATTGCATATTGATAGTTTTATTGAATAGTCAATTAAAGACAACTCAGACAACTATTGGTATTTTAAGACTATAAATTCTAATGTATAATGCAATGATTCATCTAATACAGTAATACCTATTACGAACAAAAACATTTGAATTGAATATTAAAAAATTAAGAAAAAATAAGTATGAAAGAGAAATTAAAAATAGATACCTACTATGTAAGCCTACGATATAAATATATTTATTATTTGTTTCCGACACAATTTTATTGGTTAACTAATAAAAACCCACTGTGAATTAGTAATTACATAGACATAGAGCTTTGGCAATGTTAATAATTATTATAAGGTAATAAGGTAAGTACAGACCTTATAATTGGATAACCAGTGCTGAATCTTGAACTCTGAGGGGGCCCTGGTGCAAAAGAAAATTCAGGGGCACCCTTGAAAATTTACAGTATTATAACTTAATATTTTTACTACAAATCAAATTGCATTGTAAAATTATAACCATACTTTAACATATAGGAAATATAATATTTAAAAGTAATCTTAAATAATGAATTATTTATTTAACATAATTATAAGGTACCTAAATATCTAAGATGTTTTATTTAAAGAAATATCTGTTCTCGATTTTGCTTTGACTAAATAGTAAATTATTTTCGCAGTATTTAGATTTTTGGTTAGTTATTTAATATTTTTCTATATTTGAAATTTCTATTCTAGATAAACGCACTAGTTCAAATGTGTTTCTTAAGAGGACGCTACCCATACATTTGTTGTCTCCGTCTTACACACACACGGCATAGAAAATTGT